GACTGGTGGTATTATTACCCAACATGGGCAAGGGTTCTGCTAACTTATGTACCCCTAGAATCCCCTAAGGGTCCATATTAGGGGCCCTTCTAGCCTTGGAGGCAAAGCTCAGCACTCTTGGGAAGTGTGCTTGGACATGCTTTTCCAAGCTTGGAGGTGCTCGGAGTCCCTGTTCGAAGCCGCAGGGCGCACTTCCTGGCTTTGGGAGGGGACTCCTTGGCCGCGCTGCGCGTGTGCCAACGCTTGGCCAAGAGGACATCCGCCTTTGGAGCTTCAATCGCATGCTTTTGGTCTGCTGACATCTGCTGATGCCTGCTGCTGAACGGGTAGGGGGGCCGGGGCCTTTGAAGCCAGGAGTGCAAAAGAGGTGGGCTCCTTCGGCGAGCTCTTGCCGGAGCCTCTGCAGAGGCCTCAGACGACCGAATCACGGTCAGACAGAGATGTCCGTTACATCGGTCTCCCGTTCTGGCCGACTCGACGGGTCAACAAAGAAGATGCTCAGATTCTGAGACTTTCTGAGATAAGAGATGATGGAGAGGTTGTATTACTAAGGCTGAAGCTGAAAAGTCTCTGCCAACTGTGGAGGTTGCAGAGCAGCTCAGTCTCTTACCGACTACTGAACTACTGTTCCACGAAGTCCAAAGCAACTCCAAGGGCTAGACATGTCGGAATATCTCAGACTGCAGCCTCAGACCCGCCAGTATCAAGAACAATAGCTGTGGCCCTTCTCGGCATTGCAAACCCGCCCCAAACAGTTTCGGATCTAACAATTTCCTCTGGCAGTCGATTGCACCGTTGATGCAATGAGGCTGCCAGCGCACCTCCTCAGCAGACCGTACTTGGCGGACTACCTGCTACATCTTCAGCGGTCGGCACTGGGAGCAGATTTCAAGGACACTGGCTCGGTGTCTGAGACCTCGGAGGCCTTGCAGGCTGCCGACCAGATTGCCACGGGCCAGGCCTCGTACCAAGAAATCCTGCAGCAAGCAGCTGGTGTCGGGGCACTTCGCGCAGTTCGAAACATCCTCCGCCAGAGTGACGTTTCTGAGCTGGCTGCATGTATGAGCACACCTCTGCACGCAGCGTGCGTGAATGGCCGCGATGAGGTGGTCCCGTTGCTGCTGGAAGCCCGAGTCTCCCCGACGTCTGCTGACAGAAACGGCGTCCAGCCGATTCACTTGGCCGCGCAAGGAGGGTCCGAGCAAGTACTTACTCTGCTGATCACAGCAAGGGCCAAGCTCGATGCCACAAGCGCCGAGAAGCAGACCGTGCTCCACTTCGCGGCGAGATCTGGTGCTCCCGGAGCTGTTCTGAACCTTCTCATGGCAGAGCCGCTCACGAGAAAGACGCGCGGCGCCAGAGCCTCCGGAGTCTCCGGCCTGAAGATCGACGTCTCGGGCTCAGTGGCTCCTCACACAGAGTCTGGGTTTTCTGGGTCGACACTGCTCAAGGCGAAGGATGGCTGGGGCAGGTCCGCTCTGCACTGGGCCGTGGTGAATGGTCACCGCACCGTCGTTCTGAAGCTTCTGGAAGCAGGCGAACTCGAATTCGCAAATGGAGGGAACTGCGTAGATTCTTGGGTGCGCAGTGTTGCAGTGGTCCAGGTGCCGACCGAAATCTGAGAGATGCAGCAGGTCTCCGTGATTTGTGAATGATATATGTCCAATTGTGTTGTCTCGACTGGCCTCTACTGGCAGCAGCTTGTTTCACCCTCGTCCATTGCCGAGGTGAGACGCCTCTGCTGATTGCCGAGCGCAGGGCACAGTGCAGGGCGCAAGACCGACCTGGAGACATGGGTGCCTCCGTCCCGTGGCTGCAGATGCCTGAGGTCAAGAAGATGAGTCTGAGTAGGAGCCGTCGGCGAAGCCCAGGTCTTCGGAGACATCGCTACGCTGCTGGGCGGCTCGGCGAGCACGGCAAAGGCAGAGGCAGCATCGGAAAACCAAAGGGCTTGGCCGAGTGCAAGCAGAACATGCAGCGCAGGTAGGCGGCAAATGACCCTCTGTGTGTATGGCGAGAGTGCAGTGGAATCAAGGTATCGTCTTTTTTAGATTCTGTCGGACTGTCCAAGTGTCGAAATGGCCGGCCATCGATTTCGGAGAGCGCCTCCGCTCCTTCTGGTGACCCTCTGCGCCTCGCTGTGGCTTGGCCTGCTCTCCTTCCCGGCCTTCGCATCCCCTGCGAAAGGGAAGAAGCAAGAACAGGTCAGCATGTTCGACATGGCAACGAGTGCCAGGAAAACAAAGTCGAAGCCCAAGTCAAGGTCAAAGCCGGGCAAGGGCATGACCAAAGCCAAATCAGCGAAGGCTAAGGTGAAGCCTTTTCCAAGCAGCGCAGGGGACTCCTTCCTGCCGGCACAGGGGGCCTGCGTATTCTTGTCATTTCTGCCTGTGCAATATCCAACTGAGCAGCTTGACCTTGAAAAGATACTGTTTTCGCCAGACTCCACCTTCAAGATTGGTCTCGGCATCAGCATAGTGGGATTCCTGATCGGCTTGGTCTCCATCGTTACCGTCACGGCAGCGATGGAGGATAAGAGTGGCCGATTGGCGACTTCGGGCCCCTTCGCCGTTGTAAGGTCTCCAACCTACGCGGGCTTCATCATCATGTGCGCGGGCGCCTGCGTCATGGCGAACCTGAGCCCTGTCCGGGCGCTTTTCACGGTGGCCTTGGCCGGCGTTTTGGCGCTGAAGCTGGCTGAGGAAGAGGAGGCCTTGAAAGAGGCACGGCCGGAGGAGTGGACGCGATACGCAAAGCCGCTCGGTCGAAAAATTCAGGTAAATACTGTAGAATTCCGGGAAGGCGAGCCGCTCGCAATTGAAAGAGCCGAGGAAAGTGCCGTTCAAGCTTGTTCCGTTCCTTTGGTGAGGGCGCTGCCTCATTCATTATGTATCTCAAGTCTCTAGAACGTAGTTTATGTCTCACAAGTCATCACCGCGAAATGCAAAGAAGATCTCGATTTTCCTTTGCGCTGCTTCCGGTCACGCCGAAGGTTTCAAGAAGCCGGCAACCAGGCCTAGCTAGCTTCCGTCTGCACGAGTCGCGAGGCAGGCGGTGCCCAAAGCGAGGTGCGGCTTCAACCGATGGACACCACATCGCCGCATATCATGACGCAGAGCAGCCGAAAATGTCGGGCGGGAGTGAGTCACAGAGACAGGACGTGGCCCGTGCTGCAACTTGTTGGAACGTCATGTCCGGCCCAGAGCTTCAGCCAAAAGCTCATGGAAACACGGCAGGCGGCAGGCGGACTACACATCCTTTTATGAACTTTATGCTATCAGTGAAACTGAGCCTGTGCCAAGCTCTAGCAGCATCTCGGTGCCGAGCACGCGCAATCAGAGCATGCAGAGCCTCGCTGTACAGCCTCGAGCGGCGCCCGCAAGAGAAGGACCGTTGAGTTTGAGTGGGTCGGGAGTGGGTCGGGCATGGTCGGGGCTGAAACTTCGACCTTGCCTGAGGCTCCGGAAGTCTCTGCTCTGGAGCTGGGAGAAGCCTTCGAGCCGGCTGGGCGTCAGGCTGACAAGAGTCAACGGGCATGTACTGTAGGTCGCATAGTTAGGAAAATCGTGCTTCTCCTTGGTGGTGCAAACTTTCGCCCCGAAGACGCTTGACTAAGCACGTGCATCGAGTCCGACAAGTCTGTCGCTGAAGGCTCTTCGAATGGAGCGGTGATCGCCGTGGCTTTGCCGGTCATAGCTTTGAGGCGACAGCGAAGTTCGACATGCCTCGAACTGAGTTGGCCGTTCCAGTCAGGACCGTGTCGAGCCGGCGGTCGGTGAGGCGGAAGCACGTCACGGGAGCTCGTGACACGGGATGTGTGCATTTTACATGGCGGCCCTGGAAGGGCACGGGTAACACCCCATGTCCGCCGGGCTGCTGCTGGCTTTGCCGTCGCCCCACCCAGGCCAGGGCGTCTGCGCTTTCCAGGTTGCAATTTCGGCGGCGGCTTCGGTCTGAGGCAGCGAGCCCGGCGTGGGCCGAAGGGCGGCTTCGCCAAGGAGGCCAAGCTGAGGATCCTCTCGGCACGGAAGAGAGAGCCCCCTCCGAAGACTCTGAGGCCAAGGGTTCCTTTCGTTTCAGGAGCTGGTTGAAGCAGCTGGGCTGCGTCGGCGTGGACTTGATCGAGCTCGGGCAGAAGTCCGGTCACTTGCCCCCAAGCAGGAACCCACATCGTATCTGCACGATTGCTGCGCTGCGCTGAGGCGTGTGGCTGAAGCCCGACCTGAGCAGCGAGCAAGAGGCCGCTGTCAAAGAAGGAAGGATCGTCTTAGAGGCCGGATGAGCGGAGCGACCGGAGCCCAAGTCACCCCAGCTTGTGAAGGTGCCGCGGCAAGCTTGGATCCAAGCAGACCCGACGGCCTCCAGTGACGCCGACATCGAGGAGTTGCTCGCTGCCGAACTTCTGAAAGAAAGAGCCAAAGGCGTGGCGGATAGTAATTGAGGCCCCAGCACCCCTTGCTCCACACTCCGCAGGGCCTTCTTCGATTTTCGCGCCGTATGTCGACTTCTTGTGGAGCAGGGCCCTGCCCTCGAAGTATGCCGTCCTGTCACTTGTGCCGCTTGTTCTGCTAAACCAGGATCTTTCCCACCATCCCATGTTCTGGACGCAAGAAGAGCTCTCCTGGCTATCAGCCTGCAATGGAGCACAGACTGCGGTGTTGGCGATGCAGGACTCTAGAATGCCACTGCAGACTCTGCTTGAGGCTAGTGATAGTGTAAACAGAACCCCGGCCTGGTGCTAGCCATGCTTTCCTGTGGATGGAGCCAGCTGCGCCCGGCAGTGAGGAGCAGGCGGAGCGTCGCCGAGCCAAGCTTTGCGAGCGGCTGGACATCACCGTGCCAGAGGCGGGGCTCTCTGGCAGGATTTGAGTTGTGCAAGACCTGTCGCCCTCACCCTCAGGAGGACGTCCTTTTTGCCCTCTGCCTAGTGGAGAGCAGAGCAATCCAGACCGATGGGGTTTGCGGTGCATTGGTGCCGCTTCTGGATCACTTGCGCATCTCGGTTGACGATGAAAATGCCTTTTGCTTGTGTCGTGGCTTCAAGTTGTTGTTCCTTGTCTGTGCACGTCCTTTTTCGTGGGTTTGGACAGAACACGCTCAAGTGCGTGAAGAAAGGTCAATGCAATCGTGCCATGCTACAAGTACTATTTTGTTTGAATTAATTGGCCTTGCCAGGGAGGACTCCCATCATGCAGGGCACGTGGTTTGCTTTGGAGGCCCTTGTCTCCAACTGACTCATACTCATACAGGCCAGCCTTGTAGCCTGAACCCCACACCGCACAACGTCTCTCAAAGCTGGAGTCACAGACATCAAAAGACCAAGGATGGCAGATAAACTGTGCAGACTCCGCATATCTCTGCATGTGGTAAGCCTGGTAAGCAAAGCGACATGGACATGTCACAACCGACCCCGGAATTGTGGCTTGCCTACAGCGCTTGGATGGCAATTGCGTGCAATTGCAATGCGAGGCAATGATTCGACTGCCGGACCTGCTCTGATTGTTGGAGATGAAGGTGTCGACGGCGGTCCAATGGTGGGTGTGGCGCCCCTCGGACAAGTTTGATAATCCTCACCTGCCATGCGTTCGTCGAGTTTTCGAGTTTTGCTGCGGTCTGCAACACTGGGCAAGTTGTAGCAGCAGTCCAATTGAGGCTTCACGATCTGGAGCCTGGAACGGAATTGCGAAACTGTTTCGAGCCCGCGAGTAACCTGGAGCTGTTCACCCAATATGGTGAGGCCGCAGCAGTCATCCCATGTTGGCCCTGGCAATGATTGGTGGTAGAAAACAGGTGCAGATCAAAGACACATCCGCGGACGAAGATGCCGTTCCCGAGGCTAACGCATTTAATTACGTCTTGCTCTCAGTACCGGTGCGTGTCGTGTTGTCGCACACCGACCGGGCATCATTCGTCGGATGTACTCTTAGGAAAGCATCCATTTGCTTCGAACATCCAGGTGAAAAGCAAGCAGTTCGCGGGATACTCTACGGGATGCCGTGTGCGAGACCTTTCGATTTGGGTGGTCGCTCCGGTTGCGTGTAGTTGGGGGATTTCTGCACGTCTGCGGGATGTTTCGGGGATGGGCGCAGGGATGCTCTGCAGGATACTCCAACAGCGGACTGTATGATGGGCGATTTTGGGGACGTGTAGTCCATAAATGCTGTGCGGGACAGGCGTTTCACCAAGGGTGGAGAAGAACTTCAAGACTCGAAATGGAAGGGATGTTTTGCTGCACGACTGAGGTCCAGCTTCCAATCAAGGTTCCTGCAGAGCAGTGGCGGGCGAGTTCAGATTCACTGAAGAAGGTGGGCTGGTTTGGTGCGCTCACATGTGGCCATGGGACTTCAGCTGTCTCAGCCGTCTGAGGTGAAGCTTGACATTTTGCGCCGGCGTGCTGGTTTCGACTTCAGCTGCGACCTCAAAGCTGTCAAAGGGGGGGCCCAGGGATGTCCTGGCGGCCGAGAGAGCGCTCTGTCTGCAGGCCGGGAAGCTGATGGCTCGGCCGCTCCCTTCATGCGTCTTCCCATGGATGCCATGGTGACTGGTCGCCTCTTGCCGGCGGCCCGATTCATTTGCATGCCGGTGCCGCCGCAGAGCATGGAGGACGTCCTGTGCACGGCAAGGGGTGAGGGTTGGCAGAAGAGAGCTGTTCGGACAGGAGACGTGTGACGAGCTTTTCACGAACCTCTTTGCAGACTGCAGCTCTGAAAGCAGCGAGTGCATTTGAGCGGCAAACCGCTGATTACTTCTCGTCCGAGGTGATCCCAGCCTTCTTCCTGGGAGTGAGCTCGAGTGGGGCGGCCATTCTGCGAGTTCGCGAGCACCGCCAAGAGATGCTGACGAGTTGGCCCTGGAAGTCAAGGCCCAAGGGATAGAGGAGCGAGGGATGAGAGGCACATAAAGGGAAGAGGAAATGATAGGAAGGAGATGAGTGATGCGAGCAGAAGGAGCCGAAGGGAAGGAAGAAAGCAGTAAGGAGATAACGATCTGAAACCTTCTGTACCAATGGAATCCGCACCAGCTGCCAAGACTCCTGATTCTTCTTTCAGTTCTTGTCTTGGTAAGCAGCCGTTTTCCCTTCGAGCTGCTAGCTGGCAAAGTGTGATGGAGGAGATTGGCAATTCCGAATCTGATTGTCTCGTGCGATCAGAAGAGCTACTTCACTGCCCCGCTATGCTTTCTGTAGTGTCAACTGTGCGTGCCGATAGCTGCAGTGCAAATTCAAACAGTTGTGGCCCGGTTCACCACCAGAAGTGCCATTCTCTGACATTGCAGGCTCGGGTCCTTGTGGCCGAGTGGTTTGAGAACAGCCTGCGGGGCTACAACAAGATGTCCGAGAAAATCGCACAGGCACGCTGGACTCGCCAGACACTGTTGGAATTGCGAGCGAATGCAAATCTCCACATTTTCCATGCAGATTCCCCTGGCAGCCGGCTCTTGCAGTCAGGAGCTGGAAGACACATTGGTTACTTCGCCCGGATCTCCGACTGGGCCTGGGGATAGCAACCTGGCAGCCACTGGGAGCTGGCAGACCGAAGAGACTGGATTGCAGCACACTTGGCACAGGCAGCCAGCTACAACTGGCAGAAATTACTTACGCCTACTACAAGGCAGCGTTCAGCGGCTAGATGCGGCTACAGTGAATCTGAAGGGACCACAGTCCACGATGCTGGCAGGCAAAGCGTAAAGATGGCAGGACAGGGAAGAGTCGAGCACCAAAGACGTGCCGAGTACTCTCCTCTCGCCTCTAACTCGGTCTGAGCCGCTCTGCAGATTCCTAGGCCCCCCCCCGAACCAATGACTGCAGGTCCCAGGGACAAGACGGTCATAGTTCAATTCCTGGAGAATGGCGTGAGGCACACAATTCCCGAGGCGCCAAAGTCTATAGCTTGTGATACTGGTTGCGACTATGCAGTGGTTCTTATTCAGTTTATGAGTTAAACTAGATGCAGACGCTACATGCATTCGTCGTTTTGCTTTATGCTGGTCGATGCTGGTTGTGCCTCAGGACTGGCTGGTTCGTGAGGCTGACAAAGGTGCACCACTGAGCAGGGCAACTTGCCGTTTCGAATTGCCGAAGTCGGTTTCGCCCAGGTTCAGCCGCTGCGGAGCAGGTACACGGCTTGCATCAGCTTTTTGCTGTGCCCCCCCGGAGATGCCATTTTTGCCCCTACAAGCGGAAGGGTGGGCAGAAGCTGGCTTCTGCCCATCGGGCACGCGGCCTCCTGGCCATGGCTCTCCTGGGCAGCCAGTCTTCCATCATCCAGGCCAAGCCGCCAAGCCGCCAAGCCTGCGACCACAAGAGCCTCTGGAAGAAGCCTCTTCTGCCTGACCCTTCTCAGCCTGCTCAGGCTTGTTACGAGATGCTGCTGAATGTGCTGCAGATTGGTCAGGGAATCCTTGACTGCAAACAAGAGCAAGAACGGAGATCCATGGTCCAACAGCTGCTTGTCTCAAAGGATGCCTATGACTCGAGCGCAAAGAGTTTCCCGTGCTTGTCTATCTGAGGCTTCAGCAGGCTTGGCAGGAGGACATGAAAAGTTGTCACCGCGCCATGATGAAGCTGGTCTCAGCATGTTTCAGCCACAATACTGCGCAAGAAGCTGTGAGCCAGTATGTCGCGTTGTGATGTATTCCAGCTCGGGTATGGGTGTCCAAGTCGAGTATACCACTTTCAATCTGCCAGGAGTACGACATGCTCCTCCAATGTCAGTCTGAGAACCCAGAGCCTGCGTGACAGATGCAAAAGCCCGCCACGGTGTGGACAACTCACTTTCATGTCGCCGTGTCGCCAGCACGTGATCTGTACCTGCCGCCCGCTGCGTTTTTGCGTTGCGAACTAGCTTTGCACGGACAGCTAGCTGCAGAATGACCACCTCAGTGATTGCTGTTGTCTTGTGTTCTTGATTCTCCAGATACAAAACTCTAGTGTGCTTCCCACCAGCACGCCAAGCTCAGCCTCAACAAGGTCCCAAACAAGGCCAGAAGCTCTAGGCCCTACAGGCTCGGGACTTCCGGTTGCAGCCGGCCTACGGGCTGCCAGCCCACCCAGGCGGCCAAGCCCGCCCTCTTTCAGAGATCCAACACCGTGCTCCAAGAGCTTTCCGGCAGGCGCTTGCCGAGATGGCAGCGATGCGGAAGCAGCTGATCGAGTACCTCGAGGCCTGTGCCGGGGCCGGGCGGGCTTTGCGTCTGAAATGGAGTGGAGATGGGAACTGCGAAAAGCAGGCAAACAAGGGCTTCGAGGACTCTGAGGTCCTGTGCAAGGACAAAGGCGAGGAGGCTGGTGTCTGCTGCCCCAGCTTCGCCAAAGCTTCTTTGCAGGTTGGGACCACGAAGTGCTTGTGGGCGCCATCAAGTCCTTGCAGGCTGAGGCGCTGCGCAAAGCTGACCTGCGCCTTGAGCTCATACGCGGACTTCCGTGTCCGCCCGACAGGAGCAGGTCACCGCGGAGCCCATCAAGCGCGAAGGCGGGCTTTTCTGGGTCTCTGCGGAGTCTTTGCCGCGCTTTTGACCCTCAGGCTGGAAGCTGACCGAGGAGGGCGTCCAGTACATGGAGAAGGGAAGCCCGGAGTTCCAGGTCGCCGCGGGGGGCTTCCCCGGTGCTCCGATCCGAGTCCCTGAAACCTCAGGTTTTCAGCTTCATCAAGTCGAGGGGCTCCGTCCCGAATGCAGACGTGGATGCCGCTCTTGGTGCCGTTGCCAAGATCGGCACCGCGCCTACCTGATCTCCAAAGACTCCGTTATTGCCGCCACTCAAGCTTGTCTCTGCCAGAGCAGGCCTCGGGACTTGCATGAAGAACAAGTGGGTCTCCATCGATAAGGCCACCAAGGCACGGGCACAGCAACCATGGCGGGAATTAGCAAGGCCCCGAACATCAGTTGCTTGCAGGTCTGCACGCCCTCCGTGGATTCCGTGGAGGACGGCGTCCAGAAAGAGCTCTCGTCTTTGAGCACCTTAGACAAGGCCAGGCAGGGATTCTCCGACCAGCCCGGACCGTCCCCTCTTGGAGCAGTCGGCTTTCGGAGGCGAAGCTGGATGCGCTCAAGAAGCGCAAGCTCATAGCGCCAACGAGCCTGACGGCCTTCAAGGCAAAACTCCTTGAGCATGGCATCTCGCAAAGTCTGACTGAGTCTGACTTCGACAAGCTGATCGGTGAAGGTCGAGAGGAGCGACAAGTTCTCAGCTTCGTCTCAGAAGGCAGTTGCCGACCTGACGGCCGAGATGATTCAGAAGGCAGAAGCAACTACTGGCATGCTTGCGATGTACGTGCATCGAGCCATTGTGCAGGGCACGTGGAGCAGCACCACTTTCAAGCCCTTCAACCTAACAAACGTCAGCGGTGTGCCTTGCACTGGTGGACACCTGCATCCCCTCAACAAGGACCCATCTGCATAGTTGAGCTGTCAGAGTAGTGTGTGCCGTCCGCTGACTTGGTTTCTGTTTGGCTGTTGCTCATGTTAGTGCCGGCAGGTAAAGACAGAGATGCGCCAAATTCTGATGCAGATGGGCTTCGAGGAGATGACCACAAATCAGTGCGGACCTGAACACATGCCAGGATCAGCACTGTAGCAGCTGCACGGGCGTGACAAATCTTTGCTACTGTCTCGGTGGGATGGCTTGTGTGCAGCGCTACCGTTACCATCAGGTGGGTGGAGAGTTCCTTCTGGAACTTTGACGCTCTTTTCCAGCCACAGCAGCATCATGGCAGCATTTCACGACGAGCTTCCGGCACACGCTGCCGTCGCAATCCTGTTTCCTCCTCGACCTTGGCCTTCCAGCAGCAGCGTCAGGCCATTCCGAGTCAGGGAGGGGATTGTTGCTGTTGCTGTTGCTCGTTGTTCTCGCTCGTCTCACTCCTTTAAGGGTTGAACTCCAGCTTGCAATCGGGAGTGCTTCCGACGGCCTTGAAAGAGACGTGGTCCGTTTTCTTGCCGAGATTCCCATGTAGCATTCGGATTTCCACTCGCCAACCATGAACAAGAACAGACTTCTTCCGATTCCCGTGTTTGTGTTTCGTGTCGCGTGCCTTCGCTGTGAACTTTCGAATGTAGTCGGAAGCCGAGGCATCCAGCGCGGGATGCCCACGACACCTTTTTCATGGAGGCTTCGGCAAAGCCGTGTTGTGACACCTCTTGAGCAAAAACGGTTGCAGGAGCCCAGCAGGGCGCAGGACATCCCGGAAGAGTACCTTGCGAAAGTGAAGGAAATGCATGAGTGGCGGGCTCGATGACGATGCGAGTGGCAAGTCAACAAGGGCAGTGTTCGATTCTCCAGCAGTTGTAACAGCGACTTTGCAGTCAGGAAGGGTGGCCAGGGATCCATCGGATGGCGCTATGACTGGAGCGAGGAGAATTGCGCAGCATCTGGTTGTGTGTTTTAAGAGCCAAAAATGTTGGGGGGGATGCCGAATCAAATCTTTGGCTGCTGAAATTGTGGTACTTGGGAGTCTCATGCAGCATCCGGCAGAGATCGTGGAAACCACCCCGGCCTGCGTGTCTTTTGCCATCGCAAAGTATTGTGTAAAGGATGGATGATCATGCAGATCTGATTAGACTGTTCAGCAGCGAGGTGTATCGTCAGGGGTGGCGATACTATAAAATATAATATGATATGAGGATATATTAATATTAATGAGGATTTAATAACATCTGCAGACACATAATGATGATAATAATAGCAATAAATATCAGTAACAACAGCACACACACATGTGTATATATATATATATATATATGTATATACTGTAGATGTATATACATACATGCATACATACGTACATACATATACATGTGTACATATCATATTATGCATTATGTCATCTATAGATGTGCGCATTACGTGCTACATATGATTTGCTCGAAGTTTTTGTATGTATATATCAACATACATCTATGCATGCATACATGTAGACACACATCGTATTCGCAGTATTATATATCATTGCACGTTGTGTAGTGTGAATCTTATGGTATAAACTTCTACGGTTACAATTCATAGGTGTTTCTAGTTGTTTGTATGTATATATATATACACATGCATATCCATACTTATAATTTCACTAGTGTTTTTTATGACCAGTAGCATTATTATATCACTTCCCGTTTTTATACATGACTGCAGTTGTTATATCACATTTGTTGCGTACTAGTTTGTCTTCTTATGCACAAATCACACAAATATATACACATACATATACACAACATATTGCTATCTGTCTGTCTACATGTATATTTATTTACTCATCATATAACCATTTTGCATATGGCTTGCGCTCATTGCTCAGCCTTCGTTTTCCTGCCATATGCACACATCGTTGCGTGAAGTTTGTTGCAAAGCTCATGCGTCTGCACGGCATATGGGTATGGATGAGCCTTCAGCTCATACGGGGCACCATCTTAGATGCATCCGCTTTGTAGTCCATCCCCCGGTGGAGGCGAGGGCTGGGAGGACCTGTAAAACGACTCGAGAGGAAACCAGACAGCAGGTATTATGTTCACTGTGCTCCGTGCCGTCAATAAGCTACAAGTAGCAAGCATGACTTGCGCTCACTGCTCACCCTTCGTTTTCCTGATCCGTGTGACAAGGTTAGAGGAAGGCATCCTGACAGCGGCCGTGCCGGAGAAGAGCAGGGGTCCCATGCATCCGTACAACGAAAGAGAGCACTTGTTGGCCTGTGCCTGCAAGGTGGCAAACCTCTCTAGCCAGCGCACCAGACGGGCAGCAGCATGTGCTTCCCAGTGTTTACACTGACGGCTTGCCTCCCATCCAGGATCTGCGCCCCTAGGCCCCTACGGTGCCGACCCACAGGTGCTAGCTCTACGGCTCCAAGACCAGCGTGGCCGCCCCAGTGTGGCCTTGGGGCTTGCGTGTCCGTGCATTGTGGAGATGTCGTGAAAAAGGGCGACAAGGTTGCGAGCATCCGAGCAACCGAGCAAGCTATCCTTCGCCTTATCCTTTGCCTGCCACCGTCGCCAAAGTTGTCCAGGAGGTGCTCATTCTCGACCCAACCGGCGCCGTGCTTGGCGAGATCAAAGCTCAGGTGCAGGAGAAATCGACGGAACTGTATGCTTCTCGCTGAGACTGCAGCCGTGCCGCCATGGACAAGTCGGAGGTAAGGTCGTTTACTGCTGAGTGCTTCACCCAACCTGGGTCCTGTTGAAAAGTTTTTACAAGGATTTGTGAGGGGCAAGGCGACTAACCAGAACAAGGTTCTTCAGCATTTGAATGAGGACTGCCTGTTTATCGACATCCTGCCTCGGACGACCACCACAACAACCACAACAAGCAACCACCGCAACCACAATCGGCAACGATCGACAATCAACAGCAACCGACAACAATCAATCAACCAACAACAAGAACAACGACGACAACCGCAACAACAGCAACAACAGGAACAACAGCAACAACGGCAACAACGGCAACGACAGCAACAGCAACGACAACGACACCAACAACAACACAAGCAGCAGCAGCAGCAGCAGCAGCAGCAGCAGCAGCAGCAGCAGCAGCAGCAGCAGCAGCAGCAACAATAACATACAACAAACAACAAACAACAAGCAACAAGCAACAGGCAACAAGCAACAAGCAACAAAAGAAGCAACAAGCAAGCAACAACAAGCAACAAACGCAACACAGACAATGAGTAGTTGGTGTTCGGGGCGGGTCTGGGGGAATGAGTGGCTGGTTTTCGGGGCGGGTCAGGGGAAATGATTGTGTGCCACCAATAATCTGCTCCGAAGGAGTTTAGAATACCTGCGCCTGGCACTGATTGCCCAGACGATCATGGTGCATGATGTTGCATCATGGTGCAACCTTTCCGCGACTCTAGCTATTGACAAGAGGCGATCGATGGTAACGCGCAAACAACTCACTGCGCAGACGATGTTCTGGTGCTAAGCAAACACGTGGCTGCCCCTAGCATGGCGCTAACAACCTCGACGAGTCAAGTACTCCCCGTTCCGAGACTCCCATCAAGCAATTTCATACTCCGTGCCCTCAGTGCGTGGCAAGTGAGCGTGTGTGTCTGTGTGCCTGTTTGTCTGTCAGTCCGTCTGTTTCCTTGTTGTCTGCTTGTTTTTTTTGGTTGGATTTGGCATGGGCTAGGGTGCGAGGCAGGACCGCGTTGCCCGCAAGGGCGGCGGCCACCTGCAACTTGAACCAACTTCTAAGTCTTTGGCCACCTGGCGCAAGAGGGGGTTTAACCCCTTCAGACACGCCGGCAGGGGCCCCAGGGTGCGCCTGGAAGTGTCGGCCAAAAACAGCGCCCAGAAAGCACATTGCGAGCAAGATCGACCAGTTGCCGAGCTCCAGGGACCGAGGCCCAGGCTGAGCCATCGTCCTTTGCCTACCCCCTTGAAGGCGAGCCAGCAAGAGATTACTTGAGTCGCATCGTTAAGGAGGCAAAGCATGAGCACACCACCATAGCCCACCGTAGGGAGGGAAGGCACCAGCCTCAGAAACATGCACGGTTGCTCAGAGGAGCTCCTTGCAACTGGGATGCTCAAGACGTGTTAGAATGCCTCCTTGACGCAGGCAAGGACGTGCAGGTGATTAGGCCACCAGGGCGAGTCAAGACCTGGCTTATGAAGGCCACGGTCAACGACTGTGATGAGCTAGGTGTCACTGCGATCTCTGCCGCGACCCAGACTCTGCTCTCGAGCCGCGCTCAGACCGAGGTCCCCCGCAAGGTGGACACGGTTGAAGTTCTCAAGGGCCCGTTGCAAACCTTTAATGTCATAAGAACTTGGCGGCCAGGGGCTGTGCCGCAGTCAACTATTTCATTTGGTGTTTGTTTGGCGTTATTTTTGTGTTTCAGTTTGGCGTTTTTTTGGCGCTTTTTTTTCGATTGGCGTTTTTTGGTGTGTGAGTTTGGCGTTGTTTTTCGATTGGCACTTTTTGGGGCTTGAGTTTGGCGATTTTTTGGAGTTGTGTTTCGATTGGCATTTTTTGGTGTTTGAGTTTGGTGGTATTTTGGATTGCTTTATTTCGTAATGTTGTATGCTGTGCTTGAGCATGTCCTATCTTGTTGCTGTTGGAGTATATTATTGGTGTCTTGTTTGCACGTAAGTGCCTGCTGGTTGTGCTTCATGGTTGCTAATGTCTAGTGGGCCTAAGGCTGCACGTGTGCCCGTGCGCTCGGCTCCTGAGAAGCCCTAGCCTCTGCGCTTTGCGTTAGGGTGACAGCCATCTACACCAATTCCAGACACATTCAGCTCGGAGGGCCCGGAGGTTGCTGGAGGATAGGTTGTTCACGTTTTCAAGGGACAGTACAACATTCTTGGCAAGGGGAAGCCAAAATTTAAGGACACTACGCTTGAGGGACAGTACAGCACTTTCAGGACGTCCTAGAGTTCTAAAATGCTGTACAGTCCCTAAATTTTGGTTGCCCAGAGGCTACATGTTAGGAACAGCACAACACTGTAGAGCCATTGGCCCGCAAAAGTTCTGTCTGTGCCTAAATGTTGGGCTTTCAAAGTCAAAAGTGCTGTCTGTCCTTACAAGCCTATTCGCCAGAGACCTTCCGCTCGGAGGGCCCGGAGGATGCTATAGGCTTTTTGAAGTCCTACAGTAGAGCTCGAAGGTGCTGTATTGTCCCTAAGTTCTGCTTCCGCTGAGGCCACAATTTAAGGACAGTGCAGCATGTTAGAACCCCGGGACCTCAAACGTGTTGTACCGCTCTTAGATTCTGCAGCTCCAACGGCCAAATTTTAGGGACAGCACATCACTTTGAAAGCATTGGAACTTTCAAAGTGCGTCCCTAAATTTGGCTTCTGCCAAACCCAAACTAACAGGACAACACAGCCCCCCATGACTCTGGGACTTCCAACAATGTTGTATTGTACAAGTTGTACGGTACGGATGTTCATCATACATTCCTTCCCAACATTTCCCAACCATACAACTAGCCTGGCCTTTGTTCGTTCGCAGGCACTTGTACCTTCGATCGTTCTCGGGAACCAGATCTTTGTGTGCAAAATGTTCGTGTAAAGAGATTTTGCAAATATGCGATGAGCACAACATCTGTTTTACAAAGAAGCCGGTTTCACACTGGCATTCACAGCACTGTATGCACGTGGAGTAGTTAGGTTCGGGACATCGTGG